AAAAAGGTGGGATATAAATGCAACGTTAATATAATAACAATAAAAACTATTGTTGCCCTTTTGGATGTGTTCGCAGGTAATGCATGTGCTTCTGTGTATACCACCTGTCTGTGGAGGAAATGTATATATATGGAGGGGGGAACTTTGTGTGAATATAAGCAAAAGAATGTGTGTTTGTGCACGTTTGTGTAGATACCCAGGTGCTGCAAGGCGATGTCTCTGTGCAAAACCCCCCACCCGACATTCCACAGCGAGGCAGTCTTTGGGGGACAAACGTTTGCACACCCCAGCCAGAGTGAAAGAAAAACATCATCCTCATAGCTTGATTTTGTTTGTGCACTTACAAAACCTTCACACCTTTCGCTCCTTTTGTGCTACCTTTTCAATTTTTTCCCATCACCTTCTTTCTGCTGTGTTACCAAGAGCAAGAATCAACCCCCCACACCCCCAGAAACAAAAACAAAAAAAATTCTGGAAGGGGCCGCATCAGGAGTCTGTTTTGGGCCGTGCTTCATTAAGGCACAGGCCTGCGCATATCAATAAAATACTGCCTAAACTACTTCAATCACATCTGGACTGATTTGCATATGGAATGAAAAGGTGGGGAAGACTGGTAAATTAACTGCTGTCTGCGGCAAACCGCAGAGGATTTCTGCTCATCAAGCTGGAATCAGGGAGGAGTGGAATGCACAAAGCAAAATTCCGGAACGAGGAAGGGCTGGGAAGGCGGCGCGGTGCTGGTGCCTTCTCCCACAGAGTCCGCCTGAGCTTGCAGTGGTCCGGACAGTCCTGCAGCCTTACCTTAACCTCCCTCCAGAGCATGCTGCAGTGGAAGCAGACGTGGTTGTGTGAGATGTACAAACAGCCGTGGTAAGGCACCTCCTGCTGCCAGGCGCACGAAAAGGCTGTGTGACACGGTGGGGAAATGGAGGTTAGCATGCAGGGGATCGCCAGAAGCTGCCTGCACCAGTCCTGCTTTAACTGCAGGGAAACGTGGCTCTGCTACCCACACCTCTGAGCTGTTAACTGGGGAGCCAGCTGGGTGGAGCACGGACCGTCCTGAATGCACGGCCAGCGCACAGAGCTAGGGACTCGCTCCTAAGGAAAACAAGCCCAGTCTCCAGCCAGACAGAGGGGTGCTATCCCCTCAGCTCCAGGGGCCAAAGGGATCCTTACGGTTCCCCAGGGGCCCCATCCCCTTCACGTGACCCAACTTGAGTTCCTCCAAGAACTGGCAGCTTGGAGATTTCGCAGCTTGTGCGCTGTTTTTCTCCTTCTAAACAGCTGAGACTCCTTTGCTAAGCCATGGGGACTTGGAGGGAGAGCTTTCGGCTACTCTTGGGCAGTATTTTCGGGAACTTGGCCCTGGTCCTTTGTTCCATCCGTCCCTAGAATGCGGCCCCCAGGGAATGGAATTCAGTCCTCACGTGGAAAATCGGTTTTGCATCTTTGCACTATGGGATGTTGTGATGGAATCGCTGAAGAGCAGGGCTGGAGCGGGGCAGAAGGACCAGCATTTGGTTTGAGCCTCGTTCTGGGATCTGGGAGAGCCAGGCCCGAATCTTACAACACTCCCTGAGTGAGTCAGTCGGGTACTTACTGTCCAAGAGCTCCTCCTCTTCGGGGATATCTTTAAAAACTTGGTGGAAGTTGGCAGAATGCTTCATCGGCTTGCGAAAAGGAATGGGGAAACTCATTAACACCCAGTGAGTCAGATGGAGAAACGAAACTTGTTCTTCTTACTCACGCGCAGCAACGTTTTCGTAAATTCAGAAAGGATAAGTGTTAGAGAATTCAGAAAGAACAACAAGGTGAGACAGTAAGCAGTGAAGGGGAACTCCAAATGAAGCACCTGAGGGATGGACGTGCCCTCTTGGTATCCTGTCTACTGTTCCCAACTTGCTACCTGTTTGAGGGTGGTCCAGAAGCCAGCCATACCCTCCTACAGGGTGCTCCATTCCGTTCCCTTCTTCCTTCTCCCCACCTCAACCCCGCACAGGCAATCCTTAGGTTTTGGGGGCAATCGAGCATGGTCACCCTGCTCCTTTAGCCCCTCCCCCCCCACAAAGGTTTTTGGGATGTGTCCTTCTGGAACCTCACAGGGGCTTCCATCTGGGCTGCAGAAGTTCTGTCAGTGGGGAATGCTTTCACACATGTACATCCGTGTCAAGAGACAATTTGCGTAAGACTCGGTGAGGTGTTGTGTGGGGGGTGTTGGACTAGGCACCTGGGTTAGGGTTGGGTAGGGAGGACTTTGCACCAGACACTTGGTCTCAGCCTAACCTACCCCACAGGGTTGTTGTGATGCAGATAAATGGGGTAAGGTTCCTTGGGTTCCTCACCAGAAAAAAAGTCAGGATGGCAAGGGCGATGAACATGATCAAAATAATAGGTAAGATGCACAAGAAGCTTAGCTTTTGAGTTGCAGTTGAGTTTGCGTTCTGGTCACTGAAGAACGGCAAGTCTAGCAAAATACGAAGAAGGGAAGCCCCAGGAGGAGACAAAACAGGAGGAGAAGTGGGTGCAAATGTGAGCTGACTCCCAACTTACACTGAGTACAGTGGGGACAGAATTCCTATGCTGGGAAGAACCTGCTTCTTTCTCTGTCTCTCTCGCAAAAGTTGGATCGTAGGTTTTGGATCTAAAAAGAGATGAAGTAAAAAGGAATTCTGTGTGGTACAAGCAGATTTAAGAAGGGGCTGGATTTCCCATTCCTAAACCCCTCACCTGAAAGGCAGGTAAAGGTGAGCATCAGACACTCACCTGAATAAGAGCCGACTGTGGGCGCCTTCTACAGGCTCCTCCAAGCTTTGAGATTTCCTCGGTCCTGCCATCTTAGTTCTCTTCTTCCTTTGTTTTCCTGTCCCTTCAGACATACAGCTGGGGAAGAGAGAGAGACTTGGTCAGTCATGCCTTCCTCATCACAAACCAGAGAGCAGATGCCAGCACTTCCTTCTTCCAAGAAGCCGTTTATGATTGCAAAATTATTGCAAACGTTTTCTGACAGGCAAGCAAGGCCGAAGCCGGAGACAATTACATTTCTGGTGTGAAGGTTCAAACTCTTATTTTGGGGATGTCCAAAATGAAATGAATTTGTCACATGTGCGAAATACGACTCCTCACCTTGGGGGCTGTGAAGAAAGAGCCCTGCTTTGCTCTTGGTTTCAGTGCTCTCTCAGTTGACCCCTGACCTTTTCATCAAGTATCTACCTGTCAGTCTAGGATTAGCAAAATTCATTGTGACGTTGCTATGATAAAGCAATGCTGCCCCAGGGCAAACCTGGAGGCTGTTTCCGTGCAATGAGACAGCTCAGTTGAAATGATAGAGAAAGCAGTCTAACTTAACTCAGCCCCTCAAAAGGAGAGCCTCCATCTCCCAAGGCAGTCTATCTTTGAATACCAGTTTTTGCAGAGCAACTAATTATGCAAGAGTTGCAACTAGTGCAGTAGACCTCATTTTTTGTATTATACTTTATGTGGGCATCCCTCAAAATCCAGATTCTTCTGGCCCTGCCAGAACTTTTTATTTAGCATTGGCAGCTTGATCCTAAGCATGTCAACTTAGAAGAAAGCACCTCTGATTCAAGTAAATTTACTCCCGATAAGGGTTTAGGGTCTCAGGTCTGTAAGCAAAAATTTGATGGTGGTGATACACGTGTGACTGGATGCAACCAAAGTCAATACAACCACATACTGCAAACTGTACTTACATACCAAAATAACCTCGTGCCTTTCATTATTTATTAATCAAATGAATAATTCTAATCCAGTTAAGCAAAAATCCAATTACCATAAGTTAAGAGGCTGACTTTCTGCAAAGTAATTGAGCTGAGTTGCTTTTTACCCCCTTATAAGCTCTATAGGTAAAGAGGCTTAGAAATTTAACGCTCTTCTTGGTTTTTAAGTGAAAACTTCAAATTCAAGCTGCTGCTGTTGCATTTATAGCCCTCTCTCTCTCTCTCTCTCTCTCTCTCTCTCTCTCTCTCTCTCTCTCTCGTTCTCTCACACACACACGTACTAAAAGGACTGTGTATACTCAACAAATGGCTCTGTTCTGCACTTTCATTGCACAAAAGCCATCCAGCCACATCTCCAAAAAGAAGAGATGCAGCATCAAAAGTGGCGACCAAAGAAGGAACAGATGTAGGTCACATTTGCATGTGTTAAGCTGTACACAGCGCTGCCAATTTAGAGTGAGTAATTATAATTTAAATGGAAGCATCACACCACTGTCTGAAAACGGCAGCCAGGTGACGGGTGTTGGCTCACTCAGTTGCCAGGTATAAATTGCTGATGGGAAACTTCACGCAGCAAACAGAGGACTATCCACTGAAAAGTAGGACATGGCCACCCTAACCAACATATGCCAGGCAAATATCACCAAAATGTCAACATGCCCCATGCTTGTGCTTCCTTAGCCTTCAGAGGTAGACTGTGCTGGCAGATGGAGGTTTTACTTAGCTATCCCACTGTAGATGGCTAAAAGGGAGCGAGTGGATGAGACCAAAGGCTGTTCCAATGAACAAGGACATTTCAAATCGGCCTGGCTAGCAGCCATTGCCAGCCTTCCTCCTCCTCGTCCTCCTCCATAAAATTGTCTAATCCCCTTTGAAGCCATTCACCTATTTCCTGATTCTATAGGCTGAGTACAGCTTGCATTTTTATCTGTCCTGCATCAATGCTTCAGCTTGGCTAAGTACAGGATTATCTCTGGGACATGCCTACCCGACCATTAAGGACTGGGCAGGAGGTCCTCCTAAAAGAGTCATCCCTCAAGGAGGTGCGGGGGCTGGCTAAGTGCCTTTTCAGTGCCCCCCCCCCATGGAATAGGCTCCCCAGAGAGACTTGTCTGGAGCCAACATTATTCTTTTTCCAGTGTCAGCCAAAAACATGTTGCTTTCCCAGGCATTTTAACAAGTGATCTTAACTTATTAAATGCTAATGGTCTATTCGGCTGTCCTTTTAACTTGCCATGTTTATTATTTTAAATAGCTGATATGATATTGTTACTGTACTATTACTAAGGTTTTATATGCTGTTTTCATATGTTGCTTTTAAGCATTGTGTTTTTGAATAATTTTGTAAGCTGCCTAGAGATCCATAATGGGATAGTTGGTGGTATACAATTGCAAAAATAAATACATAAATAAATAAACGGACAATTTCACTGGGGCACTTCAACTTCTACCGATATTAGAGTTGGGGAAAAACAACAACAGCAAAGCGGAAAACCCTGTTTCCACTCTGTTTTCTGCACACAGTTTATAATTTTATACTTCTCTATCAGGTCTCCCCTGTACTCCCATTTTTCTAAGCTGCAGAGCTGTACATGTCACCAGTCCTCATGAGGGTGTGAAGCCAGCCCCTGCATCATTCAGATGGCCCTTTATTGCATTTTGGAGCCAATTTATTTCATTCAGTCCATGCCTTGTCCTGTTCAGATGACCCACATCAATACCAAAACACAACTACATTCACCAATAATATCCTATTCATCTAATCACTCTCACTCTTTATTCAAACATGGCTTTCATTTTTGGTTTTGTAACGGCTGGGACAAGCTACACCATTGCAAATGTGACTTCTGCTTCCTACCACTACGGGTCTAGAAGTACCACCACATTCAGACCAACAAGCCAATTAATTTTACACACATTTCCAGTTTTTGGGTCTCTCTGAGTAGTTGCTTCCGCAATAAAACACTGTGCACAGAGAATGGGACAGACTTTTTGACTGAAATAAATCTGAAGCAGGCTTTGCAAAAAGAATAATGCAGAAGTGTCTTGGAGCCACGCGCAGAGTGCATTTGGTTCTGAAACTAACTGTATGCGTGAGCCAGGATGCCTGGATGTGGGACGAAATTGCTGGAATAGGAAGGCTCAGCTGAACCCTAGGACAGTTGGGTCCCATCTAGAGGCAGGAGGACAAGGGATTAAAACGGGGACATGATTAAAGGTTTTTCATAGATATTGCAGCGTGGCGGGGGTCTTTGAGGGAGAGAGATAAACGGAGGGAGGTCAAGCTAGGACACGGGGGTCTTTCCTGAAGGGGAGCAGAATAAATACATTTGGGGGAAGGGGAGGGACGAATCGATCCGGCTGATGGTTATCTGCATACACCTGGCTTCGTTCATCCTTGTTGGGGGAAGCTTAAAATTGGGAGTGGGAGACCTTGCATTTGGGTGCATTTAAAAAGGGGAGGGAGGTCTGTCTAGGAGGCTGGGAGCCAGGAGTGCTGGCTTCGTTTGCCCACCCAAGTTTCGCGGGAAAAGGCGCTACTACCTGGCTTGGGTCAAGGCGAAGCAGTCGTGTCCGGCGGCGACTTCCAGTTTCGCCATCCCGGCCCGCGCAGATCCGACGCCGGGGTGATGGGCGGGAAGGGAGGCAACCCTATTGCAGTCCCCGGCCCGCCCTCTCCTCCCCGTCTCCTCCCTCGCAAACCGATTCAGCTCCTCCGTGCGCAAGACCTCGCATCTCTCCGCCCTTCCCCGGCCAGAAAATGGGCAACTCTGCGCCGCCGTGGGATCTCGGAAGGCGAGGAGCAGCTCCCGAATTCCTCTCCGACCGGCCCAGGAGGTTTCGGAGCTCTTGCAGGGCTGGAAAGCACTTTGGCGCAACGCGAGTGACTCCGGATTAACAGGGCTTGGAGAGAACTGCCGGAGGCATCCACACAGCGCCCCCTCGTGGCTCGCTCGCCTCACGGCATGGCGCTTCCAAGTGGCTATAAAAGAAGTGGCAAAGGTAGTCTTCTGGCTCCGCACCCCCATGAGGACTGGTGACATGTGCAGTTCTGCAGCCTAGAAATTTCATTCGAGACCAAGGCCAGGATCACCCACACTATTGTATTCCCAATCAGTGTGGATCAGGCGGGAAGCTGGCCCGTAAAAGAAGCGGGCAGGGACCAAAATGGATGCTTTTGAAACATTTCAAAATGTGGGAGGAGAGCTTTGCAAAGCTGGAGCAAATCAAGCCTGAGCTTTCCCTAGAAGCAACACGGACAGAGGCTGCCCGACTTTGGGCATACCAAGAGAAGGCAAAATCCCTGGAGGACCATCATGCTGGGGAAAGTGGAAAGCAGAAGAGAGGAAGAGGAACTTTGAGGCAGATGGGCTCCATAAGGGCTGCAGTCTTGAATTTGGAGCAGCTAGGAAGAGTGTCATGGACTGGACATTTTGGAGGGCTTTCATGTGTAGGGTCACCATGAGCTGGAGACGGCCCAGCAACATGTACCAAACAATGCCCATCACCACAGCTCAGTATTGGTCACAGATGCATTCTGTTTCAAAGGGCATCTATTCATGTGTGCTTGCTTGGAGGGGAGAGATCTCTAAGCAGCCTTATTTTCTCTAGCTTTTCTAATGCTTCTTAGCTTTTCTGGCCCATTGATGTCAGTGGCTAGGACAAAAAGGTGGCTGAGAACTGAAATAAGCTTCTTGCACTACGCGTTCCAAGGGTCCTTTGCTTTTTTCATATTTGGGTACCTCCTGGCTTCCCGGAGAAGGGAATCATGCTAGGGAAAGTGCAAGGCAGAAGAAACATAGAAACTGAGTCAGAAGGGACTTCCTGGCCCATCTAGTCTGATCCCCGGCTCTGCTCATGACATGCCCATCATGTGCATGTCCAGCCTGTCCTTGAACACCCGCACCGATGGGGCCTCACCCCCCTCCCGTGGAAGCCCATTCCACACCCTCGGGGTCCTGACTGTCAGGAAGTGCTTCCAGGCATCCAAATGGAACCTGGGTTCCCTGAGCTTGGCTCCGTTGGAGCGCGTCCTGCCTTCCTCTGCAGGGGAGAACAGGCCTCTACCCACCTCCGTGTGACACCCCCTCACATACCTGTATGTCGCCAACAGATTCCCTCCAAGTCTCCTCTTCTCCAGGCTGGAGAGACCCCGTTCCCTCAGTCTCGCCTCATACGGCTTCCCCTGCAATCCGTCCAACAACCTTGTGGCCCTATGCTGCACCGGTTCCAACCTGGCTACATCCTTCCTGTAACGAGGGGCCCAAGAAGAAGAACAAGAGCAAATAGGCGACGGACTGGTTCCATCCTTGAGTTTATAAAAGCTTGGCAGGACTGGCATGGGAAGGGTATTTTGGAAGGTTGTCTTTTGTGGGGTCTCCAGAAGCTGGAGATAACTTGATGGCATATAACAAAAATTGACTAAAACAAGGGTAAGTCCAGGAAATTTTATTTTTATTTATTTATTATTACATACATTTATACCCCGTCCTAATGCTTCAAGCGCTCAGGACAGCTTCCAAGATACGGCTGACAAAATGGCTCATGCCATTCATTACGAGCACGTCTATACCTTCACTTCCACAAACCTAAATATTGCTTTCAGTTTTCACGCTTAATTTTTTTATAGGCTTCACTTGTTGCTTTTCACCAGCAAGAATGTTCTGTTTTTAGAAGTCATCCTGAATTTGTTCCTATTACCGCCTTCTGACAATGCCTTGTTTAAAAAAAAAAAAATTAAGAGTTTCTCAGCGTGGCGTTCTTCCGGATTCTTGTGCATTCCCCAGGCCCAAATTCTTGAGGAACTAACGTGCAGACATTATGTGAACACGAATGCTAAAGTCCCATGCTGCTTGCAATGTCACGATTCCACGTGCTCTGTAGCTGCTGAGATTTATTTATTTATTTATTTTATCGATCGATTGATTTATATCCTGCCTTTTTCCTACAAAGGGCTCAAGGCAGCTTACATCCTCCTCCTCCTCCATCTTCTCTGCACAACAACAACCCTGTGAGGTAGGCTGGGCTGAGGGTCTGTGACTGGCCCAAAGTCCCCCTGTTGGCTCCATGGCTGAGCGGGGACTCGAACCCAGATCGCCTGAGTCCCCGTCCCACGCTCTTAACCACAACTCCACACTAGCTCTCTGTTCTATTCTGAAAAATCTATTTTGAACTGTGGGTAAAGTGCTTGGAAACAATGGCATTTCTCTCTATGAACTGGAGAATAATAAAGACACACTCTTGGCTTTAAAATGAATGGAGGACCAACCGTTGCAGAATGGTTAACCCCGGGTGCAAGCAAGTCCTGCACCCAACAAGCCGTGCTGGGTTGCTGTATGGTTGGACTGGATCTGAATTGAGGCTACAAAGGGCATTTCGGGTAAAGTCTAGGCACCACGTTTTGCATTCATTTCCAAGCACTTTGCAAAGACTTTCCTACAGAGTGCATTTCAATCCTCTACAAGTTGGGTGATTTAAGACATGGAAACATGCAGTCAGACCTTCTTTTCCAAGAAAAGGCGATGCTCAGACACCCAGAACTGCAATGCTATGCTCATTTTCCTGGAAGGAAGCCCTGTGGATCTTACGTCTGAGTTACGTTTTCTGTAGTTAAAATCGGGCATCATTTTCATCATTTTGGTTTCATTACACTTACCTTACTTGAGAAGGCCCCAACACAGCTTATAAGTTTGTGCTTTCCATTTCATCCTCACACCAACAACCCTGTGAGGTAGGTCGGCTGAGAGTCAAAAGTCACCTAATGACTCCATGAATGAGTGAGGACTGGAACTAGATTTCCCCTGTTCCCAGTCGAACACTCTCACCAGTAAGTCGTACTGGCATTATTGGGTTGAACCAGCCTTCCCAAACCTGGTACGCATGAGACTTGGTTCTCCAACATGGTACTCCGACACAGCCAACACAGCTGGCTGGGAGTTGGAGTTGGAGCTGGACTACAACTCCCATTATTTCCCATCAGCATGGCCATTGGCAGGATGCAACACAGTAGATTTTAAGGGGCATAAACAACTTTACTGGTGGGAATCTTTTTCCTGCCTTTGCTTCAACAAGAGCATGATTCCTGCTTTCCCATTTTCTTTATGCGGGTAAGTTCAATATTTTTATAATAACACAATGAGACTTCTGTTTTTCTGCCCTAAGATCATAAATAGTTATTACAATGTAGTACTGCCCTGAGGCAAAATATATTAAAATATTAAGATAAAATGTCTTATAGCAGTACTCCAGGGAAAAATATCTTAAGAACGTTAAGATAAAATGTCTTCTAGCAGCACCCCAGGGAAAACTATCTTAAGAATGTTAAGATAAAATGTCTTATAGCAGTACCGCAGGGAAAAATAGCTTCAGAAAATGTTAATACATAAAACAAGAACGCATCATAGATGGCAAGCTGATTTTGAAAGGCAAAATGTTTCTAGTTTAATCCCTGAAAACCTGGTCTGGATTCCGCAGCGGGGAGCCATCCATGTTTAGGGGAAAGTCTAGGGTCAAAGGCGTGCTGGAGTTTAAAGACTAGTTGCACCTTTGGGCCAAACAGATCCAGGGCCTTGTGGCTCAGCTGCCTGCAAAGATCACCAAGGGAGAATCAGCCCTTACCAGTCCCTGCATTATGGTGCTGTCCTTGAACTGAACTGAAAGCACACATGGTCTGAAATTCCTTCTTAAGGCAGCATTGGCAAGTGTTGGGAAATTTTCATCCTGGTAGGAAAAGGTTGCTTATATGTGCCTTTGTGTTATAAAATCAGACCTGCACCCCTTTCTCAGAAGGCACCAGAATTCCAAGCCAGATCACTGTTTAGCATTGCTGTTGCCTTAAGAAGAGGGAATTCTTAGCTAGACTGAGAAGCCTCTCTAATAATAACTTATTGCTGTAGAAAAACCTGAAATAATGCTGTTCATTAGTTTCTGGATGGGCCCACCGAAGCAGAGGCAAGTCCTGCTGAGTTTAAGTTGCCAAACCAGGCTTCCTAAATGCTTCCTCCATCAGACACATTTGCGTGTGTGAACAGACGGACCCGGCTGACCTGAATGATCAAGAATTTACTAGACTGACTCATCAATACAGCAATCAGTCATGTTTTCCATACTATTGTTAACAACATTTCTGATTGGTTTTGGATGTTATGTCATGTCCAAAGACATCAGGATGTTATCGTACTAACATTATCTGGAAACTTAACCCCCTGTATTGATGTACATGACTACGGGATTATAAAATGCTCTGTCCATGTCTTGAAAACTTGTAGCTGAGTTTACCTCTACCCGGTAATGCATCATTGGCAGTGACTGCAGGCACGTGGCACCGGTCAGTAAAGCAGCCGAGGTTCAAACGGTTGATCTTTCCCACAGACCTGAGTTTTTATTTCCTCCTCACAAATTGAAAACCGAGATTCTGTCACAAGCAACTTAAATTCTGCTAGCAATTTAGATCTTCAAGTCAGGAAGCTCATGGGGTGACTTTGGGCTGGACTCACACACAACAGAAGCTGTAATTCATGGGCCATATTAAAGCCCCCTTCGCACCCCCGAGGATCTAAAATTGCCTCTGCTGCTGTGTAAAAAGGTCCCAGTTTATTCCTTGCATCTCTGGCACAAAGAGCTTCACAGAGATGGCGATGGAACACGGTCTCTTTGGAGACTCTGACTGCTTGGAGCAGATTATCTTGCGATAGTTCGATCTCCTCCAAAGCAGTTTCCTACCACTAAGTAAAGATTACAGCCCTTGTGTAAAGATTAAGTAAAGATTACAGCCAGGGAAGCGCAAAAGACAA